CCAAAATCCTGGGTTAAATGCAACAGGACCATCTAATCTGAGGATGGTGGTCCCTGAGTGTTCTTGGGTTTCCCCCCCCCTCCTCCATTTTCTTTTCCATCTGTGTTGTGTGCATGTTTTACAATGTCAGGATGTTCCATGCTTTTCAAGATAAGGGTCTAGTAAAAGGACACATAGAAGGAAATGATACACTCAAATTGAGCTTGACTTCTGGTGACTGCATTTGTATAGTTTCCTTAGCACTGCAGAAGTGCTTTGCCTTCTTTTTCCAGCTTCCCAGTTTAGCAATTGCCAGATGGCTTTCTATCCAAGTATTAACCAAGGTTGATCCTGCTTAACTTCTAAGATCAGACAAGATTGACTTGGTGTTGCCTTGGAAAAAACTGAACTGAACTGAACTGAAAATAAAATATAGCTAATATGGTAACTCCCCATATACTTAATAATGTTGTCCTTGTCATATTGTCATGCAATGCTTTGTCCCCATTGTGCACCCAGAACTATAGAAGAATGAGACAGAAATGTTTTATATATAAAAAAGTAGAGACATAGGAGATCTAAAAGCCTTTTCTATGTAAATAGTCTTTAAGACCATTAAGTTAAAATGGTCAAGTTGAAATGAATTTTAAAATGTACCAAAGCGATGCTGGCAATAATCAGATGTTTTAAAATTTTCATTTAGAAACCATCCAGAACATGATTAACCACAATATGTTGGCTTGTAAACAGGATAATGGTAGATAGAGCATATAAATGAAAGCACAATGAAATAGTAGCATGGTTGTTTCAATGGCCAGTTTCCACAGCACTGCACCTGACTTTCACATAAATTGGCTAATCTGCTTATCCCTCCATCCACAACAGGTGGAACTGTAATAAGGAACATTTTCTATTTAGAACAATTGGGATGACATTTATGCTTCTCCATCCTTATATTTTATTTACCAAAGTGACTTCCAGAGTTTTAAAAAAGAATCATTAGGGTAATGTTTGCATGTCATCAGTGATGGGGACAACCTTCTAATTGGGTGAATTTGAAACGTAACCTGTCTCTAAGATTAGAAAGTTCACGTTCAGTCTCAGTTTGGAGATCCCTTTGACCTAGCCTGTCCCTGCTTCCCAAGCAATTCCCTTATCCTTGAGAAGAGGTGGGGGGTAATTGGGAATAATGATAAAAAATACTTTCCAGGTGGCATTCCCCCCCCCCCAATTTTCTAGCAATTGTTTAACATCTGTACAGCAACTTTCCTCACTCTGATATTTCCCTATGTGTTTGGATTGCAACTCTTGGAACCCCCAGCCAAAATGGCCAAGGAAAGTGTAGCCTGAACCATCTGGGCGGGGGGGGGGGAGTATGTTGATAAGGATTCTCAGTCATCCAGGGGGAATTGCTGGAGGGTGAGGCTTTGCACAATGGGTTTTTTTTTTTTTTTT